GTAGCTGGGTCAGAACCAGCTTGTCACATTTTTGAGGACCAGACTGGCTGTTTTAGCCAACATGGTGTGATATACTGAGTTTCAGTACCTAGCTGCAGTAGATAGACTGCAAAAGATAGGAGGTCTCGAGATAAGAGACAAGGCTGAGGAGTGAGTAAACAAACAATTGATTAAGGGCCGACAACAGACGGACAGACAGAATGTCCGATCGAATGAATCACATGCACGATCCATCGCTCGAAGGAGTGTGTTGGGAATTCACGTGCGCGTGTAAGAACTAATGAAGTACTGTTGGGACTAACAAAGTACTTGTGGAAAATCCAGGTTTATATGGATTAAAAGTGGTCTTCAGACGTGACAAATAGATAGGATATACCGGTAGCTGGGTCAGAACCAGCTTGTCACATTTTTGAGGACCAGACTGGCTGTTTTAGCCAACACTTGGTGCAGCCTTTACTTATGTGAGAAAGTTCCATGGTGTTATCAAGACAGCAGTTAGTGCCTCCAACGCAAGCAATCTGAAGAACTCCCAGATTGGAAAAACAGGGGCAAACTTCGTGTCTCTTGCCAATGAGAAGGCGCTTGAAGTCGACGTTTCGTTCCTTTCAGCTTTCCACACAAAATTCTTTGACCTTCACTTTGAGTTCAACCATGCGACTGATCCCCTCATCAATCGGTCCGTCTTCCTTGCACCTCATCATTTGGTGAGATACTACTTGAAGGAAAAGGGCTTGGCGGCAATCAAGTTCAGCTCGAGAGTGGATCGGTCGATGATGTGCCATCCAACCCGGTATTCCATGAATTTTGGGACAACCTTGGAAAGATGGAGAATGCCATGCAGCAGGAACAATGCTTTAAAAAGGCCAATCTGTTCATTGAGAAATACACGGAGAGCCTTTACAAGCACAGCAAGCTATTCTGCAAGGGTGGACTGCTGTTCTTGGCATGCTTTGGAGAGCAGGAGACAGCTCAAATTGTTGAAAAGTTTCTCATCCACGGAGAAATTGATGATGCGACAATGCGACAATATGCTGATTAAATCTACGCATCGCCAATTCACCATCTTAATGTTCCAGTGCAAGACTTTGCCAAGTTTGTCATGGCAAAAATTGACGACAAAACTCGTGATGCTTGCATCAAATCCAAGAATTTTCTTGATTGGATAGACTTAATAAAAATAATTGCAACGGGCTACAATTTCCGGAGCGCAACTGGTAATGTAGCAGATAGATTGAGCGCAAAGTTTAGAGCCTACTTTGGCCCTATTGCAACTACAACTGAAGACGTGGAGCGTGTTGTCAAGAGAGCTCGTCTTTGCCAGACGACTGAAAAGGAAGAAAAGAACGTGACTGTATACGGTTTTGCAGGCGATGGGGTTTCTGACGAATGTACAAGAAACTATGTTGATTCGAGTTATCATCAGGAGCAGAAAGAGAAAAGAGACGAAAGGATCCGGAAAGCAGCTCGTACTGGTGGTATCAAAGAATACAAGCCCAATTTGGAGAGAGGTGCAGGTATGTGCATCAGCCATACCAATCATGCCCTCAGCCTTGCACACGATGTGGAAACACTGAAGGAGATAATTGGTGAGGAAGAGTATGAAGATCGTCTGAAGGGAGCTATGGATTCGCTGAAGAACACCGACGTGCAAGGGTCAACGATCCGTTGTGATGCTGTCATGAACATAGTAGAAGGAAACTTGGGAAAGACGTATACGGGGTCACATTGTGAGAATCTTCAAGGAGTGGCTGCACATCTGCAATGCACAACAAAGTGGTGCTTAACAAGTGCACCATCAAAGGCCCATCTGGCGAGGACAACAAAGGGGCGATGTGGGACAAAGATTTGGCGCGAAACCTTGTCAAAGTCGAAGACCAGCAAGAATACGATCGCAAAGGTGGAAATCCATCATTCACCAAGGTCAAGAAGATGATAGAAACGTTTGAAATTGATCAATGGAAGAACGCCAACCCAAGCAAGGAAACTGATGCAAAGGTTGGGAAATCAATCAGACTGCTTTCTACTGGTGATCGCAAGCTTGTCGCGAAAGCGGAATATCTTCAATAGTTGTCTACCATAGTATTATTCAACTTTTATCATAGTAAAATGTCGATTGCAACCATGAAATAGCCCCAGAGGTCCACTTTCTATACTTTTGGTATCATCTGTATGGGGGACATATGTCCCCTTAACGTATTATGGGGAACCCCGTTTTAAATCATACTTTAGCCACAGTTTTGGGTGCTGGACTCCATAGACCCTTCGCTCGTTTACGTGCGACCGACAGACGGGGTGGGTTGACCGCAAGACGATGGCTAGTCAATCGGGGGTGCTGGAGCTACGTCCCCCATAAGAAACACCGGCCTGCACACGCTCACCGTGTGCTGGCCTCAAGACCCGAGCAGGGATGATCTATGGAAAAATGTTCGGGATAAGAAATTCTAGCTAAATATTTTTCGCTCCTCGAGACAGATAACGTTTCGTTAAGCGAATGTCGTTTTATTTAGGACAAAAGTGGTGGCGTCGGTCAGTATCATTTCGTGGCAGTGAATTGATGGGTGAGAATCGTCGTCTTGGAGCGAGATCAATTCGAAACGAAAGCTCATCGATTTTGTTGGAGAAGAAAGGAGAGTGTTTGTTTGCGAAGATGGATGAATCAACATTAACGAAAAATGAAACGAAGATGTTACCTAAAATGGAGGTTGGTATCATGTTTTTTTTGCGAGACTGCAGATTTTCGCTGTTCGTGGGTTGCGACAAAAAGCAAAACATTTTATTTAATGTGTCGTCTTTACTTATGATCGACCGGATCGATTTAAAAAAATATTTAGCTTCATGGATCGAACCTTCAACAAGCAGAGTTGTGGGAGGGAGCTGGCTATGACTGTATTTCCAGTTCCAGTTCTAGTTCCCAAATTTTGTTTGCAGTATTTTGTAGCCATGCTTCATCCACTATTTTCGAGGAAGGAAATATGCTAAAGTCCCTTGTGACTTTTGCATGTTTCCCACAAGGAACGAAGAGCAAAACAAGCTCCACCCCTTTGCTATCCTTGTATAATTCTCCTCGTCCGAAGGGCCACCTATGGTGACAAATATTATGATCATGTTAATAGTTCCGCTATAGGAATATCTTGTGTCTCCTGCTTTTTGAAGATTCTTCAAAGTCTAAGACTCCTTTTGTCGTCTGCCCGTCTGTACTCGTATGACGGCACTATCTAGAGAGTGACGTCCACTTATTTTTCTTGAATCGACGTATTGGATGGATGGAAAACAGACCAAAAACGTCGAATCCAATACCCAACGAATTTTGGTTACTTCGAAGGGGTCTCATTTTCACGTCCACACACACAAGGTACAGTAGAAGACAGCAAAGCTGCCTTGGGAAAGGAAGACGGGCCACTTCGCAGATTACTAAATTTCACATGATGCCATCCTCCTCATGGGACACTTTATCGTACGATGAGCTACTAGAGAAAAAGCGGACATTTCGAAGTCGACTTGATGCTATTGAAGTTTCAGATCCCATTCAACGTTCAAGCAAACAGGCAACTACATTCAATAGTTTTCCTTTCAACCCGAAGGTAGACACGCACTGGGACTTTGTGATGAAGGAGATGATGTGGTTGGGTGATGATTTTCAAGGTGAGCGAAAACGGCAGCTCTCTTTAGCGAAAAAGTGTGCTTCATCGGTGAAGCAGTATCACAAGACAAAGGAAACACGAAGGCTGAAGGAGCTGCAAAATGCAGCCTCAAAGCAACGAAGAATGGGAGCCAAAATTGGCCGCGATGTCAAAAGCTGGTGGTCCAAGATCGAAAGAGTCATATCGTATAAACAGAAGCTGAAGGCAGATGAGCAACGAGAAAGGGCAATGAATACGCAGCTGATCCTCCTTGTGCAGCAAACAGAACGGTACAGTGCGTCGCTGTCCGGCGCATTGGATATGGAAACTTCCAATAGTTATGATAGTCCGAACGATGTCGTGGAGACGAACAAAACCAAGGCGCAACGGGAACGCTTGACGATCGAGGCTTCGCTGGCCATGGAACGAAAACGGAAATCAAAAGAAAGAGTGCGTGACTACGCTAGAATGAAGTTGGACGATCGGGAGTTCTACGGAGAATCTACTGTATCAGATGCTGCCTCAGATGTCTCATACCAACCAGAGAGTGACACGGATGACGAATCAACAATTAAAGCAGCGATGGATGACGAACTTCTTTCCCGCGTCCGTACTCAAGATTCTGAAGAGCATGCTGTGTACCAAACAGATCTTCTTGAGTTGCGCACACTACACGAAGAAGCTGCGATGGAAATCAACCAGTTGATGATGCGATTTCGACCAGAAGGGAAATCAGATTTTGCGTCGGAGGAAAAGCGACGCAACAGCTTCAGTGGACAAGGAAAACATGTAAGGTTCCGACGCCAACAAGAAATAAGAACTGAAGAAACGGACAGAGGAAAATTGACTTGCGGAAAATTGAATGCTTTGGTCCCAGCCTGTAACGCTGTAAACGATACAGGGCTGGGTATTGAAGGAGAAGTTGATCAGGACTTTTCGGACCAAGATCCGGAAGTCGACGATGAGACTACGATTGCAGAGGAAGAGAGGCTTGCACAGAAAATGGCGGCGCACCAGGAAATCACCTTGCTTGAGGACGAAAGCAAAATGTCGATCACAGACCTCCTCAAGCTTTATTATGGAACAGCTAATGATCCAAGTGTGAAAGCACCAGTGATTGCTGGGGTGGATACGCATAGTGACCTTGAAGCGGCAGAAAATGAGCAAAGAGCATGTGTACCGGTAGAAGAAAATTTGCTGGAACAGAAATCTGGTGAATTGTTGACTGAACAACGGAAGATCGATAACTTCCTCCAAACTGGAAGATCAAAAAATGAAGCAAGCATTTCTGGAGACTACGCAGGCCTAGTTTCCACAACTCACCCAACCCCACGGAGAGGATCGGTCGGTTTTTTAAATGTCACAGAAGTACAAAACGACGAGTATCAACCAACAAATGACAGGGAAGTAGACGACGAAAGAACAATTGCTGCAGAAGAAAAGCTTGGCCAAGACCTGAGCTATGAGGACGAATTGTCGTTACTGAAGCGGGAGAATGAGATGTCCATAGAGGCGCTGAGGGCGATGTACACAAATCATCCTAGTGGAAACGAAGCGAACGATGAAGACGACCAATCGAATGTGGTGATACATAGTGCATGCAAATATTCTGCTCCTACCGAGAGCGACCACAATCCTCCATCAGGCACAAGTGTCTTCAACCAGAAGGAGAGTAATAAATCCGACATTGTAAGAAAACGAGACAGCACACTTGGGGATGGCGAAAAGGCACTTCATGCGTTGGAGACGTCAGCAACACGTGCTCGAACCACTATGGCAAGTCGACCATATCTGCTAGCTCGCTGGGTGCAGTTAAGGAAGTATCAGCAGGTTGGTCTGAACTGGTTGGTATCTCTGCAATCAAGAAGCTTAAACGGTATCCTTGCTGATGGTAAGAGAGATTGTCAGTTTTTGAGCTCTTTGATAATGTGACTAATTGATTGAAAACAGAAATGGGTCTAGGGAAAACCCTTCAGACAATATCCCTGCTTTCGTACTTGGCATCGTACAAAGGTATCTGGGGACCACATTTGGTTGTGGTTCCTACATCAGTGATAATCAATTGGGAGACTGAACTGAAGAGGTTTTGCCCTGCTTTGAGAGTTCTTTGTTATTACGGCTCAGCAAAAAGGAGGAAAGAGTTGCGGGCTGGGTGGACACAGGTATGTTTTGAAAGTATATGGATATTGATCAAACACAGATAATCTGACAAGTTTGGTTTAGACAAATTGGTACCACGTTGTCATCACGTCTTATCAACTTGCTGTCCAAGATGCATTTGCATTAAAGAGGAAAAAGTGGTATTACTTGATTCTTGACGAGGCACAGAATATTAAGAATTTCCAGAGTCAACGTTGGCAAACTCTAATCAACTTCAACACACAAAGACGGCTTCTGTTGACAGGTACCCCTCTCCAGAATAGTCTGATGGAGCTTTGGTCCCTCCTTCATTTTCTCATGCCATACATTTTCCATTCACGGAAAGAATTTTCATATTGGTTTTCAAATCCAATGAACAGTATCATTGAAGGAAAAACAAATCTCAACGATGGAATCATAAAGAAGTTACATGGTATCATTCGCCCTTTTATTCTTCGGCGTCTCAAGAAAGAAGTCGAAACTCAAATGCCTGGAAAATTTGAGCATATTGTTAAATGCCAGCTATCAAGGCGTCAGGTTTGTTCTTTTTGCTCTGTTCGGCCCCTGTTCAATTTTTACTCAGCTTTTCTCCACATTTTGGACAGATGCAACTTTACGAGGAGTTTTTATCGCGATCTTCCACACGTCAGGCTCTTCAGAGAGGGGGGAACTTCATGGGGATGATGAACGTCCTCATGCAGCTACGAAAGGTGTGCAATCATCCGGACCTCTTTGAGCCTCGTTCAATAATGACTCCATTTGTTGTTCAAGGAGTTCGGGTGCCTGTGCCTGGTTCTATTTGCTTCATTCAGCCTGGTAGCAATACTTCTTTGTCTATCAGTGAATTCATCTTGAAACCACTTTGGAGCAGGAACAGCAGTTTCCCAACTGTAAAAGCTGGTTTACAAAGTAGTGATCAAGTGGCTTTTCAGCGGCATTCAGTGAGGGCAAACCTGGACAAGCAATCACTGATCTTGTCCCACAACTGCAGTGAATCGCAAGATGAACTCCAGGCACTAATACATGAGGTCACTGCAATAAGGAAAAGGAAAGAGTCAACCAAAATGCAATTTCAAGACACAGTCAACTCTCGACGCTGCACGCCTTGTCCATTTCCATATCCACAATCTCTGCAAGATGCAGTGGATGTTGAAGTTGATATTTTCCATCGTGTTGGTGCTTCAGAACTGAGGAAGAGGGAGATATTATCCACCCCTGCAAGTCTTCTTCGTATTAGGAAGCTAGAACAGCAAAGAGCAAATCAATTTGATGGTTCATTAGAAAAAATTGTTGTGTGTGTGCCCAGAGTTGGAGCCAGCGCAGCAATCATTGAGACAACCAGTTCTGTTCCCTATCAATTCTCTAGTCAGTACCAAAAGGATGCTAAAGATTTCTTGGAGGGTCCACTTGGAGCAGCAATGCAACCATATAGCAAGGTTCTTGCGCGCCTTTCTGCTTTCTTTCCAGACAGAAAGCTTGTCCAGTATGATTCTGGCAAACTCCAGAAGCTCGCGGAATTGCTTCGAGGTTTGCAGCTAGGGGGGCATCGTGCTTTAATATTTACGCAGATGAGCAAAATGCTTGACATCCTTGAGACATTTTTGAATATTCATGGATATACATACTTAAGACTTGATGGTTCTACTGGCATTGATCAACGTCAGAGATACATGGACCGGTTCAACAATGATGAAAAAATATTTTGCTTCATCTTGAGCACAAGAAGTGGTGGAATGGGGATAAATCTCACTGGAGCAGATTCAGTCATTTTCTATGACAGTGACTGGAACCCTGCAATGGATGCTCAGGCTCAAGATCGTGCACATCGAATTGGACAGACCCGCGAAGTGCATATCTATAGACTTGTCACTGAACATACTATAGAAGAAAACATCTTGATGAAGGCAAATCAGAAAAAGAGATTAGATATAATGGTTATGGACCAAGGCAAATTTGATGCATCACTGCTTTCCAGGGAGAATGGTAGTCAAGTGAAACATGCATACACAAAGGGTGGGCTTCATGACATTATTGGAGTGAACAAATCTCACGACTTTCCTGGAGATGATGATATGGAGCTTGCACAGGGCACTGTAAATATCAGTAACGAAGAAATGGAAATGGCTATGGCATCTCTGGAGGATGATGATGACGTGCAGGCGTTACTAGGTGCACACCGAGAAGCTGCTGAAGTTCTCAAAGAATTTGATGACTCTGCAGAGGTGAAGGAGGAAGAAGACAATGAGGAGGAGGCTGATTGTGACATCAAAGACCCATCTATTGTCCAACCAGCAAAACGAAGAAAGTTGGGGCATTTTGCATCTGAGAAAGGTTCAGATGAGCAAATGTCTTCACACCAGGAGATAGAGAAGGATTTTGCCACATGGCAAAGTACTGTAGGTTTGGATGCAGCAGCTATTGATAGAGCATTGGCACCAGTGGAGAGGTATGCCCTCAATCTTCGAGAAGAAATTGATCCGTTTTTCTCCCCATTTCATAATAGGGAGGAGTCACTCGAGGTAGTGCAATTGCAGGATGACCCTGATATTGATCAGATTGAAAGGATGAAATCATACGAAGAAGAGCAAGCCATCAGCAATGGTGACCTTTTGGGGACATGCCCTCAGCCTGAGTCGTTGATTAGGCAACGGAATCTCTATCAGAGGGAGCGCATGCGTTTGCTTTCTGAAAAGAAACGTCGTCAGCTTACTGGCGAGAGTTGGTCTACCAAAGTTGATGGCATAACAGAAACTTCATTTTGGTACAATTACGACACAGGCGAAGCATTGTGGAACAAACCAAATGTTCTGCTTCAGATTGAGGAATACAATATGGCAATGCTGAGAGGGTGGTGCTCTCTACCTCTCAAGGCGTTGGTTAATATCATGGATTACTTGGTCCCATTTAAAGATCGTCAGAAATGTGCATCAGTCTGCCTGCATTGGAAAGCAGCTGCCAATGACATTCGATTTGTAAGACATGTTTATCCAGTTGAGATGGGTGCTATAAGTTGTGACACAAAGAGACTGCACAATCACTACAGAACACTGGACGAAGTTATGATGGTTGCCTTGCCAGGTGATACAATAGGTATGACTGACTATGTCCTCTGCTGCTGCAGAAAAGTCATTTCTCATCTTTTGTTGTCTTCCACCAGAGCTTTCTGACGGGCACTATTGGGTGACAGAACCTGGTCTTGTGGTTGATAAACCCCTCAAGTTTGTGGGGGATGAAAAGAACCCATCAAATGTTGTAGTTGAAATAGCAGGATCTCTAGGGTGGAAAGCAAAGGGAGGAAGGATGGAAGGGATCACTTTCCGCAGGTCTGCAATTTCCACACATTCCAAGGTGCCTCATCCAATTTTGAATGTGACAGGTATTGGGAGAGTAGACATCAGCAATTGTGTTTTTGACAATGGCATGTATGCAGGTTCAGTAACTATACTTTCTGGTAGTGGCTCCAAAGGGTCATGGAGAGCTGTTCATATCAGAAATGGTGGTTCACATGGTGTAGAAATGGAAGGCAATATCAATCTTGACATGAAGAAGGTCAGTAATTGTTGGTATCATATGGTTTAGCATTTTCCTACTCAACATGTTGCTTCTAACAAAGTCATTTGTTAGTGGGAATTGTGGGAACGGCATAAAGTGTTCACATCAATCAATGCTGTCTCTTTACGAAACAAAGGTAGCAAACAACCTTGGTTTTGCTCTCCAATGCCAAAGCGGCTCCAGAGCAGATATCACCAATTGCTGCTTTGACAAGAACAGAAAGGGTATCATTTTCAAAGAAGTAGGATGTGTCGTTGCTTGCAGTGGTAAATACAGCATGGGTTTTGAAAGCTCCTGAAAATTGTATTCATGGTTTAAGATAACATGATATAAGCCCACTCCCATGACCAAATTGGGGAAAGCCAAGCAGGAATTTGAAACCCTGGTGACTGTTAGAAATGTGCTCGTGTCACCTGTACTTTACCTTTGTTAGCATTGTCTTTGTTAGAAATAAGCAGTTTGACCTCTATCGCGAGTGCCTTTAGAGCTAGAACAAACTCTCTGCAATCTCAATTCGTAATCGACCATACAGCACCTCCACATAGTTCTCATGTACTAGGTATACTTTGAGTGAAATTGTTCCTATTTGATTAATGTTTGGCTTGAATTGATGATTCAATCACAAAAGTGAGTTCAACGAATTTCCTTTTGGGAAATCCCTTGTTTACAGATATCAATCCGACTTCTACAAGGATTCTCTGTTGACTACAGTACTTTGGGACATTTGGTAATATTCCCTACTATATTGTACACAACATTGGTATTCCACTTGTATAGGGTCACTTGATCTGTGTGTGGATATTGCTTACCTGACAGTCTTCGTCGACTGCTGACATCACAATAATATTCAATTGTGCATGTCAAAACTTTGTACTTGAAGAATTTTTCACGGAACGTAAAAACTCGTATTTTGTCATATCCCAATAACATCTTTTGCAGTAAATTGTTAGAAATAAGCAAAATGTGCTCTATCGTGAGTGCCTTTAGCGCTCAGAACAAACTCTCTACAATCTAAATTTGTAATCGACTGTACAACACTTTCACGACAATAGTTCTCCTGTGTTAGGTATACTTTGAGTGAAATTGTTCCTATTTGATTAATGTTTGGCTTGAATTGATGACTCAAGCGACGATACAGTCACACATGGGCTCACTACAACTGTTAGAATAAAGCAAAATGTGCTCTATCATGAGTGCCTTTAGCGCTCAGAACAAACTCTCTGCAATCTAAACTCGTAATCGACTGTACGACACATTCACGACAATAGTTCTCCTGTGTCTAGGTATACTTTGAGTGAAATTGTTCCTATTTGATTAATGTTTGGCTTGGATTGATGATTCAATCACAAAAGTGAGTTCAACGAATTTCCCTTGGAAAATCCCATGTTTACAGAACTCAATCCGACTTCTACGAGGACTCTGTGTTGAGTACAGTACTTTGGGACATCTTGTATTATTCCCTACTGTATCCTACACAACATCACTATTCCACTTGTATTGGGTCACTCCCATTTCATATGGATATAGATTCTCCGGCAGAGTTGCGTCAAATCCCGGCATCACGATTAAAATCCGATGGTGTGTGTCAAAACTTTGTACATCAATGGTTTTTCTTGGAACGTAAAAACTCATATTTTGTCATATCCCAACACACTCTTCCCATTGTGACAATCACCATTGGCAGCACTAGGACATGCTCTCATTCACTTTTTATTTTGTTTTGTATTTTCATTTTGAACATATACATACTTGTCTGACCTAGTCCTGTGGACCAACAATCAGATCCCTGAACTTGCAAAACTTCTCACCTTGCAATGGCTTAGTCATGAGATCTGCAATCATATTGTCAGTTGGACAGTATTTGACCTTCACATTTCCTTTCTCCACTTGATCTGTGAAAAAGAAATAACAAATATTGATAGCTTGGCTTCTTTTGCCTGCGCTCTTACGACCAACCTCTTCCAGTAGAATCACGCTGTTGTTATCCTGATACAAGATATTTTTCTCAATCAGATACCCTTGCCTGTTAGAATTAAGCAAAATGTGCTCTATCGTGAGTGCCTTTAGCGCTCAGAACAAACTCTCTGCAATCTAAATTTGTAATCAACTGTACAACACTTTCACGACAATAGTTCTCCTGTGTCTAGGTATACTTTGAGTGAAATTGTTCCTATTTGATTAATGTTTGGCTTGAATTGATGATTCAATAACAAAAGTGAGCTCATGGATTTTCCCTTGGAAAATCCCTTGTTTACAGAACTTGATTCGACTTCTACCACAATTCTGTGTTGAATGCAGTACTTTGGGACATCTTGTATTATTCCCTACTGCATCGTACACAACATCAATATTCCACTTGTATAGGATCTTTTCCTTTTTGTGTGGATACAGATTGTCCAACAGACTTGCGTCCGGCATACTTGCGTTGAATCCCGACATCGCGCACGATCAAAGTCCGATCGCACGTGTCGAAAACCTCGTACTTGAATAGTTTCGTTTGGAACGTAAAAACTCATATTTCGTCATATCCCATCACACTCCTGCCATTGTGACAATCACCATTGGCAGCAATGGGACATGCTCTCATTCACTGTTTATTTTGTTTTGTATTTTCATTTTGAACATATACATACTTGTCTGACCTATTCCTGTGGACCAAGAATTAGATCTCTGAACTTGCGAAACTTCTCACCTTGCAATGGCTTAGTCATAAAATCCGCAATCATATTGTCAGTTGGACAGTATTTGATCTTAACAATTCCTTTCTCAACTTGATCTGTGATAAAGAGATAACAAATATTGATAGCTTGGCTTCTTTTGCCCGCGCTCTTGCGACCATTCTCTTCCAGCAGAATCGCGCTTTTGTTATCCTGATACAAGACATTCTTCTTGATCGGATACCCTTGCCACTCCATGAACAACTTTGTCCATAGTATCATCGTGACAACATCGTCAACTGCAATCAGTTCCGCTTCTGTACTGCTTCTGCTGTTTAGTTTTTGTTTCTTCGACATCACTTGAGCTGCACCTCCTCCAAAGGACAAAGTGCCGCCAGTATGGCTCTTGAAATCTGGATGCACCGCAAAAGATGCGTCGATCATCCATTTCATGACTTGTAGTGATTCTGCGGAAAGTGTCAGGTGATACAACAATGTACAAAACAAATATCGC